GATATTTCCGCAACGAGCAAAAGTACAAAAGAGTATGTACTTATCTTTTATCTTTCTGCCTTTCTTTTAATGCCCCACCAAAGCTCAGTGTATGGGTCTCGAATAAGATAAAGGTTAAAAAATTGCTTTATTATAAATAGAGAGAAACTTAAGCATTGTTAAATAATAAATCTGAAACTGGGAGACCGATAATATTATTGCTTATAAAAATACACCTGCAGTCACTTTTCCTGGTGCGTAGGCACCGACACAAACACCAAATGTGGTTCTGGAAGTGGAAGATAAGGGATTATTAAAATAATAAAATGAAATTACGTAAATTAAAGCCATTTTATGTGACAGGGTCCACCTGCAGCCTATGCTGAGGTACACGAGATACCAGAGGAGTGCGTACCAGAAAACCAGCGATGTGGCTACTGGGGCCTGGAAATGCCTTGTTGTAACCTTTGTCACTGTGTCATGGATCACTGCACATCTGAAGAGTAAGAAATCATAGTACCCATCGGAGTACCCAAAAATGAATGAACTACTGACCCTCGCACCATTAACATTACTTTATATTTTGTTTCACCATCATCTTAGCAGCCCCTTACTTAAATACAACATCTCACGTAGTGCGATTTCGTGGTGTGATCAAATCTTAATTCAGCTAAAGCATCACATCACATAGGATATGAGAGGCTGTTTCTACTTCAATAGCTAAGGCCCCCCTATACGTCCGTGGGTCTTTTGGGAGTGTTGACCTCTTTAATTAGGGTGCTGCCTTCAAACCTGGGCCTTTTAAGCATCCTGGTCGTCGTCTCCGTAGACTTTGGTAGTGCTTGTAGCTAACCCTTGGTACTACTTTGGCTTTTGTAAACTCTTTTAAGCTTCCTCCTGGCACTTACAATTTGGTCTTTGCCAGATGAAGCATTCCTACCTTTGACGCTACAAGTTGTAGGTCACTTTCCTCCATAGGTTTGCTATAACCACTCTCTCTCTGTGGTGGTAGTGGTATGCCAGAACTGCTGGCTCCCAGACAGGTGATGTTTTATGGCACCGAAGGTGGGTTTGTCACTGATGAGTCCCTGCCCCAGGTCGTCTTTTCAGCTCCCAGAGGTGGTATGCCAGAATTTCTGGTTCCCTGCTAAGAGGAATCAACTTTCAGGTGTAGGTTACATGTTAGAGAGCTTGTTCATATTAGGAATTATTTCAAGTTCTCATTAGAATATTTTGTAAAATTATATTTATTAACGCATTTAATTTTCCTTATACCATAAAAATCACGAAGCTTATAGTCTAATCATGTCGTTTCTAATAACCTTAAAATAAATTTCCTTAATTTTTATGAGACTCAGTACTTCTCCATGCCCTACCGCAAACGGTACAACGCCGGCCATACTAACTAGCCTCACCTCCAAAGTGACACCATTCAGCGTAGAATAATGAAATTTTATATAATCTGAAGAGTTAAGAAAATCTTACAATTCTTTTAGTGTACTTCCCTTCTGAGAAAAGACGGGCTTGTGATATAATCACGTTCATGTGTCTGTTCGCCCTTAATAAAGTTCAAAGCAATTGAGAAAATTGACAGTTTCAGTATAAATGCCATAACATTTGAGACTATTTCTTCACATTAATAATTTACCAACATTGACAGCCACAATAATATATATAGAATGAGTCAAAAGTATGTTTACAAATTTTGTGTGCATGTTCCAGGAACAAAAATAAGAAAAAATGTTCCTATGAACATGGGGTCATAAATGTTTCATTTTCGATTCTTAAGAAGACACTTGCCACGTCTCCTTGAAGATGTACCACTGAATACAAGAAGACAAATGTGGTTTATGCACGATGGAGCCCCAGCACACTTCTCCCATCGCGTCAGAGATCATCTCGATGAACAGTACCCTCAGCGATGGATTGGGCGTGGCATGGCCACCGAGGTCACCGGACCTGACTCCATTGGACTTTCATCTGTGGGGTCACTTGAAGTCCGTCGTTTATGCAACACCCATAAACAAACATGACGACCTATGGGAACGTGTGCAGAATGATGCCAGATGATACGAGGAAACCCTGGTGTGTACAAATGAATCAGTCAGTCTTGTGTACGTCGTGCTCGGGCATGTGTGGAGAATGGAGGAACAACCCTTGAGCATCTGTTACAAAGAAACATCCCTGTTCTTATTCTTAGAAATAAAGGCATTTAATGAAACTAATTTTTGGCTATTATTTTGTAAAATAAACATTTGCAACCACATGTTCACAAGAATTTTTTTCTTCTAATTTTTGATCCAGGAACGTGCACAAAAAGTTTGTAATCATAATTTTGATTCATCCTGTATTTACCTATCCATTAAATGACATGGTGACAACTATTTAAAATTCACGGAACAAATTATAGTGTACACTACAATGTCACCCCCCATTATGCACCTGTTTCAAGCACTTTGCCCAAAGGACACATCAGAAGTATGAATGCGGTCTCCAATGTCGTGATAAGTTACTCTAAGGGACAGACGTACATACACCGAAGTACCTATTTTCTTATGAAATAAGGAAAGTAGTTAGTATAACTGTGGTTCATACCGAATTTCAGGGTTTGGTACCAAACACAGTGGTTAGCACTCCTGCTTCCTACCCTGGAAGTCCCAGGTTCGAATTCTGGCTTCAAAACTGGCTGTGGTTTTTCATGGATTTCCTCAGTCATTCCAGGCAAATGCTGGGATAGTACTGTATATTAGACCACTAAAAATTTCTTCAACATCCTTTCCAATTCATTATTCACTATCATGCTCTAATTTGAAGCTATATAATCTGAGCTACTGAAAAAGCGTCGTTAAATAAACTATAAATAAATAATTCATTTTTGGTTGCTCTTAATATGAAGAGCAGTTAACAAGTGTATGTATTTTGTTTACAATTTTTTCTAGGCAGTTTTATGAAACAAAGCCGAGTGTTTAAAATGCTCAAATTTAGATGTTTCTTTTTTTCAGGAACTTATTTGAATACAACTGAGGATCAAAAGATGACAGAGAACATTCTTATGTCTTACTGCAATGAAATCTGGATATCCTTCTACATCACAATTAACTATTTACACATACATATTCAGTTTTTAAAACATGCGACGATGTTGTGATTTAAGCAAAGCTTCCTATCTTATTGTTCAAACGTAATGCCAACATAATCATAATTATGAAAACGTAACTTCTTCTTACAGAAATGCTAAAACACTAGATATTACTGGACCTTTGATATTTCATTTATTAAATACTTTTATATGTGTAAACACTGTTTAATCCAGCATTTCAAATAAAAGTGGCATTATCAGAAGACTGTATGCGTCATTTTCCAAACCTCTTCACATGAATAAAAATTTTCTTGGATATTATCCATCGTCTAGTAAATATAAAACGTAAAACGACGTTTCGGAGATGGGACTCTATCTCCGTCTTCAGGTTCCTACACAGTTGGGCCAACTAGATAGAGCTAATCCCTATCTCCAGAGATCGGGATCCCATCTCCGAAACGTCGTTTTACGTTTTATATTTACTAGACGATGGATAATATCCAAG